GAAAGTTTTTAGCTTTGAAGTCCGGAGTATAGATCATTCCGGATTATGAGTGTCCGAATTAACGACTTTTGACTGTATAACAGTTAGTGACATTCTTCCACAGATCTTTTCATCTCAAATTTACAGCACAAACTTTTGTTCTTCCATGAGACTTGTAGGGCACTAACCTACCTTTCTTCTAACATTCATACGCTGCATTTAATTTTTCCATCTTCTAATGTGTTTAAGCATTTCAAGTTCAAACATGTTTGCTTCAAATGCGGTGCGGGTATAATGGAGTGGGTTACCAGAATTTCGCCATAGCTTGTAAAGGTAGGAATAGTCCCAGCATACTAACTGTGCCCCAATTTTGAGGGAGAACACACCGGGAGGAGCAGATCAAGAGTCTCCCATCTTTCTTTTCATACCATCAACCACTTGAGAGCTTTTATTCACCATGTATAAATAATATACATGTACAAACATCCAGGATTCGAACCTGGACCAATGGTATGACAGACATCATGACTAACCACTATATCATCTGGGTGGCTGAAATAGCAATACACAGAAATCCGGCATTGCATTTTCAAATACAATTAATAAACTAATAATGAATTAATTGATTTAAGGTGATAAGTTTGGAGAGCTTCCTTTTTTTTTATTATTATTCAGGTTTTTTACATTAATTGCTCTCTTTCCTCTTTTATATATGATCCATATAAAAGAGGAACACTCTTTACATTTAAATACTATACAAAATATCTAATAAAAATTAACAAAATAATATAGGCACACAAGTTAATTGTTTGGTTGGAATGTTATGTAAAATCGCTATAGTATGAAAACAAAAGACTGCGATGATGGATGTCAATACAGTCAAAAGTCGTTAATTCGGACACCCATAATTCGGAATGATCTATAATCCGGACATCAAAACTAAAAACTTTCTGCGCATGCGCCACGTTGACACATGCAGAGGCGTTCACGCGTGCGCGTAAGACCTTTTACGACTGCGCATATGAGTGTGCGCAAGTGCAGAATACGTTTTCGCGTGCGCATTTTATGTATAATGGACGTATAAGCTAAAATTATCTAATTATCTATTTCAGTTAATGTTGATGATTGCGTTGTTCCTTAATTTTCGAATTGCATCCGGCTTATTATTTTTTGCAGACTGTAAGAGCAATTTTATAAAAGTAAGCTTAAACTTTCGATTATATCAAATAGAATTTCCGATAGATATTTGTTAATATGTAAAGAATCTAAAGCGAAAGTATGTTTTGAAATCCGAAATCTGTTTATCAATTTCACGCTGCTCGGCGGCGGGCGCCTAATGAATTGGAAGTTGATTTGTCAGCACTATCCTTATCTTCAGCGCAGATGTTTTTATTTTATTTGGCTTATAATTCCTTACCAAATGTAGTATTTCATCTCGATATGCTCCGTCTTTGATATGATTTAAAACAAGTTCCCCGTCATTATAATTCGCTTCCGATATAGCGAGAAAAGTGACAGAGGTTATTGAAAACAAAAAAAAAAAAAATTCGATTGACAAAATTAGTCGGTGTTCTTGACACAGCAATTATAGACTTGAACGGCGGAACTTTGTAACTGAACAAGAAATTATGTCTGTTTAATAGAATTAAATAGAAAGTATTATCACATGAAACGAAGCAAAACTTAAACAACTTACATTGAAAGAAATGTTTAATAAAGTAAAACAAATAAATATAAGCTTTTTCTTTTTGCAAATTTTGATACCCTTTAGATCATAATTGTTCTTTATTTCATAAATTACGGTTTCATATTTTTAATTTTAGAATTTCTGCATGCCATCTTACGAGATTTAAACTGATGATCTATAATCCGGAAAAATCGATAATCCGGAATCGCCCGACGAGTCCGAATTAACGACTTTTGACTGTATAGATATATAAAAATCTGTGCTTTGAATATATACATACAGTGTGTCCATAATTAAACTTGAAATTTGCGAGCAGTCTGTAGCGGAATTGGATGAAAATTGAGTAATGACAGAATGAAATGATGGGAATTTTATTAAGGGAAAAAAAAAAAAAAAAAAAAAAAAAAAAAAAAAGGGTTTCAAAAACCACCCCTAGGTGGCATATCATAGCTTTATTGAAAACATTTAAATAATCTACAAAAGTTTACAAAGCATGCTCAATTCTCTGCTACCATCTGGAAGCGTAAAATAGCACATTCGACTGCTGAAAGCAGCATGAACTAGGGAATGTTGCGCAGATGGCGTAATTTGCTTTCATAAAGGTCAGATAGAGATGTGATGGGATCACGGTAGACCATTGTCTTGAGGTATCATCCCCAGAGCCAAAAGTCGCAAGAATTCAAATCGGAGGATCTAGGAGGCCAAGCTGTGAGTAACTTCCTGCTGATGATTCTGTTGTCACCGAGATGGTGGCAGATCACTTGTTTTACACAACGAGCGATGTGTGGAGGAGCACCATCCTGCATAAATACCGTGGTTGTATCACATCCCCTTAAGAGCCAGAATAACAGATTGCTCTAATAATGAAGCGTATCGTTGACCGGCGACAGTGCAAATCACAGGTCTTGCGGCGCTGTGCTCTTTGAGGAAAAAAAAAAAAAAAAAGGAACCACAATGAAGGTTGCAGTAAAGCTACACCAAAACTATACTGGAATTTGTAGGAATTGATGTGGGTTTGTAGCAGCCCAAATATGGCAATTGTCAGCGTTAACCGCACCATCCATATGAAAGTGGGCCTTATTGGTCCAGAAAATGTTCCATGGCCGTCCATCCTGGAACTCAACTCGCGCAAGAAACCGCAACGCAAAAGTTTGTTGACTATTCAGACCAGCTGGTTAAGAGCTGCTGCATCAGTGACAGTTTACAGGGATAGTAGCATAAGACCTTTTGAAGAATCTTGCAAACCATGGAACGAGGTCAATCAACAGATGCTGCAATACACCGAACACTAGTGCTGCCTATGGTTTGCGATCTGTCTTCCTCCACTTGCGTCACTACATCATCCATTACCTGTGCTGCAACACACTTTCATCCCCTTCCTGGCTGAATCCCCAATGTTAAAATTAGGAAATTTGAAGAAAATTTCCCAATCATGTTTGTTAGTCCTTGACTAGTGAGTGGACCTTTCCATAATCGCTTCAAAGACTGAAATTTTCACAAAGCTTCGATAGCAGAGTCTGCATTTTTGTAAAACAATTTCACCAGCAAAGCACATTCCTGGAATCTTCCTTGAATTGGAAATGAGTATAACTGCGGTTCACCTCTTTATAAGGTTGCTGTATGCACACAGGGATACTATGGTTACGACATTTGCATATGCCAATAGTTTACATTGCACAACACCATCTAGTGATGGTTTTTTAAAAACTCATTTCCACTTCCCTCGATAAAATTCCTATCATTTCATTCTGCCATTACCTAATTTCCATACAATTCTGCTGCAGACTCCTTGCAAATTTCAAGTTTAATTATGGACATCCTGTATATAGCATACAATTCAATCATTTGGTAACAAAAGCTTTTAGCCATCTAGGTGTCTATATAGTCTACTAGGCCCACCAGCGGCTGAGCAGTAAAGACGCTGAACACTGGTAGTTCAGTCCAAATCCCGTGAACGGGCTGGCCCCATGTGTAACGTGTATACGAGCCAGTTTTCCTTAGAAAGTTCTCCACGAAGGCATCCCTCCCCTTAGGCAGATAGCCCTCTTGTGCTTTGCCATAATTAATTAAATAATCCCTATAGTCTACTAAATTTTTCCCTCTGATAAATGACCTGAGCAATAATTTAGTTTCCGTCGTTATTTAGATACCTTTTGTTTTACTTTAAATGCATAAAGTCATAGCGTACAATGGGAATTCTTGCACATGAAAGCGCTTTGCTTCCAGAACTGATCAACAGTACTTACTAATAAGATGCATGTTGAAAGAAGTGACAATACAAAAACGAAAAGAGAAGGAACAAGAACAGAAGACAAACCAAAACTGCGTGATCATTTCAGATACTGTATGGTATGTTTTTTGAAAATGACACCCTTTGCTCCCGAGTCACCATTATTGGAGTTATTGTTAAAATGCCACTTTATTTGTGATCACATTTGCCCACAGCTGTTTTGATAACATTAGATGATGAGAAAAATATCCTGCCAAATAACAGTGGAATTTAATTGTTGCAATATAAATATAACTAAAGACATATAAGTAGGTGTTTTCACACGATTTTAATTAGAAAAATGCAAAAGTTTGTTTATGAACTGTTTGTTCACAGCATTTACAGAAAATATTTGACTGATGTTATGCCTCTAATTTAAACACTTAACATCCCTAACTGGGAGAGAACATGCCAAAGTAAAATTTTAAATTAGGCTAAAAAGCATCTTTAATTTGGTTGAATGTTTCAGGTTTTTTGCCCAGTTTTACATGATTGATTAAAATCCAAACCAAGCTGTCTGATGACTTAATCACTTCGATATATATATATATTGTGATTTGGCAATTCCTGTTATCTATTTTGACCCTATTTGGTGACTTTACTTCAGTTTAAAACTAATTTGTTCCATAATACTTTGATCACATTAACCGAATTGATGAACACAGTAAATGATGCATTTTCCGATACAAAAAGGAGGGACTTTGGCAATTTGAAACAGGCGTATGCAGGCCACTGCTTTTAAAAAGTACCTATTTGTTTATTAATTGGTTTAAAAAATACTATTAAGTCAATGCTGCTGGTAAGCTCACATGGTAGAATTCATTCTTTGGTTCAGAAAGAACACTAAATTATCCTTTTACAAGCAGTATAAGTCTGAATTTCCTTCTTGAGGAAGAAATCTTAAGCTGCCCTATGACAATACATGGAAGACAAAATTCAACAGTAGGGAACTAACTGACTTTGGATTGTTGTTAAGAAATTGACAGTCCAATGTGATGCCATATTTATGCAAAGCTGGTGTTTCAGTAGTTGTAATGTATACTAGTTATCACTAATTAAAAAAAATTACAAAAATGATGTTTATTACATGTAGAATTAAAAAAAAACTGAACTACAGTATGCAACACATATTAAGGTATAAAACTATTAAGGAACAACGTACAGCTGAGTTCCAGTGCAAAAAGGTCCATCAAGATAATGCAAGAGCACATGTGTCTGCATTCACCGGCTGGACTCTGTACAGACTCAAATAAGATGTTTTGCCACACCCACCATATAGCCTTGACATCGTTCCTTCAGACTTTTACCTTTTCTAACTCCTGCAGCTATATCTTGCTGGTGCTATCTTCCATTCTGCACAAGATGCCCAAAAGAACATTATTCTGTTTTTTGACTTATGGCCACCAAGTTTTTGGGCTGAAGGCTTTGAAAAACTACCAAAACGTTAGCAGAAAAATCATAGATTTGGGTGGGGATTACTATCCGTACTAAAGATACTGCTTTCATGTTTATTTATTTATTTATTTATTTTTTAACTTTATCAAGAACGTTTTTTGGTGGAAAACTTTCATCAGAACCAGATATATTCATAAACTAAGCACTTAAAATAGTTTTGTTCAGACAGATTTGCAATCGTCAATCATATTTTTAAATGACTGACAATACAGTTTCCCATATTTGAACAAAATATTTTTTAAATTAAACAAACAAGAATTTACTTTTTTTTTATTGTTTTTATAATCCATTTGCATCTGAGTATTCTTTTAAAGTCACAGACATATTTTAAAAAAATGCACTACTTCTACTAATAAAACTTCAGAATATTAAGAAAAAATTAGTTACTTACTAATCTGCTTTATAAAAACAATATATGTGATACAAATATGAAGAATAAATTGCAACGTAAGAATGTAATGGTAAATAAAGATGAAAAATATTTTCTGTTAATTGCAAAGAAGGGGGAAATTTATTATCATTTATTAAAATTTAAAATAAACATTATTTCAAATATCTTCCCTTATAACTGATAATGAAGAAATTCAGAGCATAAAGCATTCACTATCTATTAATAGGTAAAGAAAGTGTCATTTTCTGAAGTTTTTTCTGTGCTAATTAATTCATTTGAAAATAAACAGAAACATTTCTAATAAGAAACGAAAATATTTCTTTATAATAAAAGAAAGAAAAATACTCTCAGGCTTAAAAAATTTAAATAAATTTCAAATTATTTCTATATATGTCTCAACAATAAATTATTAACATTTGATTGCATACATACACTGTTAAATACAATTCTTACAGATAAAAGCATAAATTACTGTATAAATTCAAAGTTTTAGAATATCAACAAATGAAGTGAGAAAAAAAAATCTTATTTAAAAAAAAACTTTTTACAAAATTATTGTATATAATACAAAAAGGGAAACAATAACACTTTGATTATATCCAGGATATCACAAACTGCCATTTGTAAACGGTCAACATATATACTTTAAAAATTTTATATCTTTACCAAACAGCTGCCAATAAAATATAGTAATATAATTGTAGAAGGAATACATAGAAAACAGAAAATTTTCTTTTCTTTACAAAAGCATATCCAAACTAATAAAAATTTTATTAATGATCTCTATATCAAACGAGCAATATTCTATCTACATCTAAGTTTCAGACCCAGTGACCTCTCACTGCATATTGATAAAAATTATCACAAAATTTAATAAATGCAATTCCAGATGGAAGCACAAGCATTTCAGTTTTAAGTATCACAGACAGCAATATTTAACGCACTGGAGAAGTACCTAAATAAGGGGAAAGAGATTGCATGGGTTGTGGAGGTGTTACATCCCCATTCAAGTATGTCTGATTACTTGCAAATTCCTCCAGTGTCTCTCCAAAACGAGTCCATTCATCGGCCTTTGGATTGGCTAATTGCTTAAAATAAATAAATAATTAAATAAATAGATATAATGCAAGTTTACAGAATGTCTTAGATACTTAACAGTTAAGAGTTTAATATACAGTCAAAAGTCGTTAATTCGGACACCCATAATCCAGACCTCAAAGCTAAAAACTTTCTGCGCATGCGTCGCGTTGACGTAAGACCTTTACGGCTGCGAATATGCGTGTGTGCGTGCATAAAATACGGTTACGAATGCATGTTTAATGTATAACGGACGGTATAAGCTAAGCTAAAATTATCTAATTCAGTTAATGTTGCAGATTGCATTGTTCCTTAATCTTCGAATTGGATTCGGCTTATTATTTTTTGCAGACTGTTAGAGCAATTTTATAAAAGTAAGCTTGAACTTTCGGTTATGTCAAATAGAATTTCTGATATATATTTACTAATATGTAAAGGATCTACAAAGCGAAAGTATGTTTTGAAGTGCATTAAACAAAAAGTGGAATTGCTGCAAAAAATGGATAAAGGCATATCCTTTGTTTATCTAAACTTTAACGTTTGTTTATCTTTAACGCTGCGGCGCGTGCAATGAATTGGAAGTTGATCTGTCAGCACTATCCTTATCTTCAGGGCATATGTTTTGATTTTATTTGGCTTATAATTCCTTACTAAATGTAGTATTTCATCTCGATGTACTCCATCTTTGATATGATTTAAAACGAAGCGACTTAAACAACTTACATTGAAAGAAATGTTTAATAAAGTAAACAAATAAATATTAAGTTTTTTTTTTTTTTTTTTTTTTTTGTAAATTTTGATACCCTTTAGATCATAATTGTTCTTTATTTCATAAATTACGGTTTCATATTTTTAATTTTATAATTTCTGCATGCCATCTTACCAGATTTAAACTGATGATCTATAATCCGGAATCGCCCAAAGTCCCGACGAGTCCGGATTAACGGCTTTTGACTGTATTTAATACTATTCAAAAGTTCAGAGACTTTAGAGGAATATACATGTATCCATAAAAGGCCTTACACAGCTTTTATTTTTATAACCACAGATCATTTATAGATACAATTCCAATTACAAATACTTCAAACATGAAAAATAATCATATTATGGCATTTTAAAATTTAGAAAATAAATTTTGTAAAAATTATGAAATCTAACTTTGTACACAAGATTTCAGCCTATAAAATTAATTTTACAATAAATGCATGGGACTTTTTTATTATTTATTTAAAACATGACAAATATTTTTGTACCGGACATTTTCCTCTATGGAAACATAGACAGTACATTTAGAGAAACTTTTTACCTACAATGTTGAAACTGTTTTCATAAAAATTCTCTACCTTGTTTTCAGAAAATTTGTAACTAGATAAGAGTAAATTACTTGATGTAAGTGCATACAAAGGTTATATGTCCAAGTCCCATCCCAATTTTTATTAAAGACTGAGCAAAAGGATGAATTTTGAAGGACTCACACTCCTCAACTGAAAACACATGCCTAATATCAATATTTAAATATATGACACCTTTAGCTATCTTTTTTGAACACTCTGTATGAGACGAGCGAAATGTTCTTCAAAATACCAACAAACAGAATTCTCCTCAAAATGTATCTACATTTAAGTGATGAAATTATAGCTGGTATATCCTCAAAAATAAAAAAGCATAGCTTAAGCTTATTGATATCTGAAGAACAGAGAACAGATGTTTTAAATATGATAATACAATTCTCATTTAGCAAACTGTAATGAATCAAAAGATATCCAAACTAATATTTTTATTTTATTTTTGTTAAGCCTAATCAAGAAAAAACCTTTCTTGTTGCAGTTCCTCTATTTTTCTCAATTCTCATCTCCCTCAAAAATCCAAAATTCCCGCTTATTTGCATTTTCTTGATAATGTGAATTTCATAGGACACAGGTTGTTTTAACTGAAGTATTTATATTTAAGGCATAAAATTTTAGTTGCATATTTATCCCCATTTTTTCAACACAAAAAAATATTAATTTTCATCATTATTACCAACTTTAAGATTGATTTACTTTTGATTTTACTAAATTTATATAATTTCCTGAAATACTTTATATTAAATAATAATATTTACTCTTAAAAATTTTTCTCACATTACAAAACGGACTGAAAATTCAAATGATGATTCAAACAATTTTCTAAGCAAAAACCTTGCTCTAGAAATTTTATGCACATGCAAGCTGCTAATATTTGATGTACAGATGTAAAATAAAATTGATTTTATTACTCTGGCTTTTTACTTTGTAGACACTAAAAATAAACAATTACCTCTCCTACATCATACAGCCAAATTTTTCCCATAGAGTCACCAACAGCAACATGATGCCCTGAATGTGTCCAGGATACTCGATTTAGAGCAGGGCTTCCATCAATTTGAATGCCAACAGTAGGAAGCTAATAATGAAATGCTCCTTAATAATCAAGCAATATTTGTAATTAATTCATAACAAAATTGGAGTTTCCTTATTAATATTACTGTACCTCAGAGTCACAATTTAAGTTCCATAAATCAAGATTTCCTAGCCCATCAACACAGGCAAATAAAGCTGGATTCACAGGAGACCAACTGACATCAAATACATAATCTGAGTTATGCTCAAATGAGTATAATGGTTGACTTTCCTGCAGACGAAATACAAAAGCTACATAAGTACTTTTTATTTGCACTATTTTCATTTTGTCATTCACTATGTGCACTAATAATAGACATGTATGATCTTTGATATAATGACTAATACAAAAGACTCAACCAATCTATCATTAGACTGGTAACTTTTTTTTCCAGTATAAACTAGAATCATGCTGTAATTGTTTTATTACTTACAAAAGCTTTCCGTTAGGAAATATATAACTATCTTTATTTGAAGGCAACGAACATTGCACATTTAAGTGCAGTTACTTTCAGCCACTTATTTACTTCCATATTATAAACTTTCTTGCAACAGAAAAAGAGAAAAAATGATTCTTCACATGATGTCATTTATTGGTGTGATGCTGAACTTCAACAAGAAAATAATTAATATAAATAATTAAGTATTAAATTTATCAATTTTTTTTGCATTATTAAATTCTGCGAATATTAAATATTAATTTTTGGATAATTAGCCTTGCTGAAAACTAACTGAAGGTTTAGAAAGATGTCTTTTGCCCCATGTTGAGTTGAATATTAGACCTTGGAACCAACATATGGCTCCTTTGAATACTTGAATATTTTATTCAATACAAATTTAATATTTTTATGATTAATTTATTTAAATTTCATCCACACACATAAACTACTATAATTTAGTACTTCAGTAATTAAAATATTTAATAAAATAACATACAGTGGTAATGCAATTTTTATTATCGTAGTACAGTAATCGAGACAGTTCGTTAATAAATCATAACAATTGAATAAATATTATTTTGTCTTTTGTAGCTATGGGTTACCAGACTGGCAGCATTGAGTTGTAGTAGGCAAATCGCCACAGTACTCCCCCTCCAGTGCTAACGATACCCTACAAATACTTTGGATTGATGCGAACTTGATGACCTGAGCATGTTCTTATCGTAGCATTTGATAAGTCGGAAGTCGTGGTTTCTGTCGAAGGCTTGCAAAAGCTTGCACTGAAGATAGATGTGGGTGCACATTGGAGATAGATGTGGATCTTGAGATGGAATTTGCGATGGTGAAGATGCATTCGCTCCAGTGGCTTCTGGTTTCCAGATTAATGCTGGCTTAAGACAGTCGATACTAACGACAATTTCTTTTTCGTTGACCAAAATTTTAAATGTTTTTTTCATTTCGAGCTAGCACTTGATGGGGCCCCGAATACTGTGGTGCGAGAGAAGGCTTTAAAGCATCACATCTAAGAAAAACATGAGATGAGTTTCTAAGTTCTTTATGCCCGAACACAGTTTGTTTGCAATGAGCGCTGGCAGGAACTGGTCGCAATTTTGACATACAGTTTCTAAGCTGATGCACAAATGTAACAGGATCTACGTTGCAGGTAGATGGATTGACTGAATATATGAAATCCCCAGGCAAACGGAGATTAGTACCATATACCAGTTCGGCAGAATAGGCATTCAGATCCTCTTTTAACAGTGATCGAAGACCTAGAAGTACAGTAGGTAACACATCAGTCCACTGTAATGCAGTGTGGCATCGGATTGATTGTTTTAAAGAGCGACGAAATCCCTCGACAATTCCATTGGAACTTGGATGGTAAGGGCTGGTTCTCATTTTGTAAATGCCCAAATACTTAGTTAGTGACGTGAAGAGTTGGGAATTCGAACTGACGCCCCTGGTCAGTAGAAATCTGTTTCGGAACTTCAAATCAAGAAATCCAAAGTGTAAAATGCCTTTGCCATCATATCAGCTGAAATATCTACCAAAGGAATGGCTTCGGGCCAGCAAGTAAATCGATCAATGCAAGTAAGAATATAGGAATATCCATTAAACGGCGGCAATGGCCCGGCCAAGTTGAGGTGCACGTAATTGAAGCGAGACGAGGGCAAATTAAAATTTTTAAGATGGCTGGTGGTGTGTCTGACAATTTAGACAGCAACTGAGAAGGCCTCATATCATCCAACTGTAAATCGTGCAACAGCTGCTCGATTTTAACTGTCTCAGATCTTCATAAACAGAAATTAATTTTTTTTTAAAGATTTGTATTTGCCAGTCGCCGGTAGATTCAAAATTATTTCATGAGCTGATTGCAGTACCTCTGATTCTAACGCGGCGATCACTGTATAAAATTGAATTTCATCGGCATTAATGTGACTCAATTTAAACTGCGCATCCAATTGAATGAACCATAAAGATGGGTCTCGGCGACAAAAAGGTGGTGGCTTATACCACTCGCGCCAACTGTGAAGCAGCATCATTGTCAACCATTTTAGATCAATCAAATACGCACAATAATGTATAGAATATGCACAATAATAATATGTATAGAATATGCACAATAATAATGTGTATAGAATATGTGCAATACTAATATGTATAGAATATGCACAATACTAATATGTATAGAATATGTACAATAATAAATAATATGTATAGAAAAATAATCAATATGTATATAATGACACAGTTTCTTGGTACTTGAAATCATAGAAATTGGCGGTTCAAATGCAGCAGACGATACATATATCCGCTAAAATTATGACAGAAATATGTTGACTCACCGGAATGCAGCACAATGCTTGGAATCAGAGGTGAAATGCCTTACTGGCATCTCATCACACTGGATAACTTACTGTTGCTCAGAATTTTGATATTTAATCTCCATATTCATGCAACATTGAAGGTTGCTATTCGTAATAAATACGAGTCACCAATTGTGGTGATACAATTTTTATTATCGTAGTACAATAATTGAGACAGTTCGTTAATAAATCATAACAATAGAATAGAATGAATATTATTTTGTCTTTTGTTGCTATGGGTTAAAAGACTGGCAGCGTTGAGTTGTAGTAGGCAAGTTGCCACACATCCTGACAAGTATTTTATTGCCATTTACTAAATACTATTGTTAATAAAATGATGACAACTAGTATTTTATTGCCTACTCATGAACAGCACATTCCATACAATGATTAACAGATATGGCATATTCTTAGTCAGCTCTCCCTAAGGGTCATCACAAACAGAGTCAACAATATATTCTAAAAACTAATAATGTTTCATTTTTTTCGCAGAGAATGCTTTAGTTATACTTTAGAGACTTCCCATTTCTAAAAAAAAAAAGCCTTTCTTCCATATGGTATAAATTAGCTTAGAATACAGAACCACTTGTAGAGCTATGAATTACTATAATTTCTGCTAATTTAACATTGCTACTAAGAATCTGTTGCTGACTACAATTAGGAACCATATGAGAGCTATCACATTTACTTTTGAGTGGAAATATATACAGTCAAAAGTCGTTAATCTGGACTCGTCGGGACTTCGGCGATTCCGGATTATAGATTATCAGTTTAAATCTGGTAAGATGGCATGCAGAAATTATAAAATTAAAAATATGAAACCATAATTTACGAAATAAAGAAAAATTATGATCTAAAGGGTATCAAAATTTACAAAAAAAAAAAAAAAAAAAAAAAAAAAAAAAAGCTTAATATTTATTTGTTTACTTTATTAAACATTTCTTTGAATGTAAGTTGCTTCGTTTTTTATGTGATAATACATTCTCTTTAATTCTATAAAAAGACATAATTTCATGTTCAGTTACAAAGTTCCACTGTTCAAGTCCTATAATTGCTGTGTCGAGAATAACGACTAATTTGTCAAGCGAAATTTTTTCGTTTTCAATAACCTCTGTCACTTTCTTCGTTATCGGAAGCGAACTATAATGACGAGGAGTTTGATTTAAATCATATCAAAGACGGAGTACATCGAGATGAAATACTACATTTAGTAAGGAATTATAAGCCAAATAAAATAAAAACATCTGCCCTGAAGATAAGGATGGTGCTGACAGATCCACTTCCAATTCATTTGCGTGCCCGCCGCAGCGTTAAAGATAAACAAACGTTAAAGTTTAGATAAACAAAGGATATGCCTTTATCCATTTTTTGCAGTAATTCCACTTTTTGTTTAATGGACTTCGAAACATACTTTCTGCTTTGTAGATCCTTTACATATTAGTAAATATATAGCAGAAATTCTATTTCGACATAATCGAAAGTTCAAGCTTACTTTTTATAAAATTGCTCTATTAGTCTGCAAAAAATAATAAGCCGAATCCAATTCGAAGATTAAGGAACAACGCAATCTGCAACATTAACTGAATTAGATAACTTTAGCTTAGCTTATACCGTCCACATTAAACGCGCATTCGTAAACGTATTTTGCGCACGCACACACGCGTATTCACAGCCGTAAAGGTCTTTGCGCAGAAAGTTTGTAGCTTTGAGGTCCGGATTATGGGTGTCCGAATTAACGACTTTTGACTGTAATCCATTTGCAAAATAGGCTTAACTTAATTGTACAAATACATAATTTCTTTGCTTATAAAAGGAAACCTCTCATTAATGCCTTTCAATAACAAAATTATAAACGAATATTCTTGATATGTTTCTACCAGTGGGATCTTGTTTTATGGACAGACAGTATGTTGTAATGAATTTTAAACAAATTTTATATGTATGTCTGTTAATAAAAATATATTATTTCATGTTTTGTTGAAGGCAAGAACTTGCCAGAACAGTAAACCATGTAAAAGATAACTGAAAACAGTATGGCTAGACATATGAACTGATTGATATATTTACTCGTAACTAATCAATAAAGAAAACATTAACTGATTCTACATTTCTTGAAACACTTTAAATTCAGTTAAACGTATTCATTAATTAAAAAAACTAATCTTTTTCAAAAGACTGTCTTCTATTTCAAATCTTCATTTTTGTTTTTAATAAAGCTAATTAATGAAGCATTTTAAAACAAGAAAAGCTTTTTCAACATTTACAATTTTATCTGCTAATTCTTAATACACATTAGGTCCTTATAAGGCCTTTATTTTAACAAATGTTAGTCACACACACGTATTTCTAACAATAAAAATGTCTTTAATAATTGCAAAAATTCATGTTATATTATTTTAAGTTCAAAAAATACATTTTATAAAAATATCAAAACCTTAACTTTTATGGTCCTCTGTTTCCTACAGTTATATTTAGTAAAATTTTATACTCATTTGAGAAAAAGGTAGAACTAAATTGACCGACGTGTTTATTTTCAAAATTTCGTATTTTTTTATGTCAACTTTCAGCTTACCTCAAGGTATTGGTTAAAAAATACAATAATTCAAACTCGATTCACCTTATCCACTGTCTTAAAAGTAATTAAATGATCTGTTGTTTACTAGAGCGTAACACTTTAAATTTATAATTTTGTTACAATTAGTATTCTGAAAGAATTTTCTTAGAGGTAATTTATACATATTCTAATGCTATAAATCTGTCATTATTGTCATGAAGATTCATTATTTTAGAATCATAATCTAATAATCCCACAACGAGTTAGCCATATGCCAATACTGAAGTTTACCACTATTTCAGAACACCAGTGTTATGAGATAGCGAATAGGATCTGTTTGAAAAAAATTACACTATCAATATTTTTTGTGCCTGCAACAGTAAAGGTCATCATTCAGTTTAACATCAGAAACTCTCTCCCTCCATAAAAGATATTTTATTTCTAATAACGTAAATTTCATTTTTCAATTTGAGTACAATTACAGAACATAAACTTAGAATTTAGAATTAAATAAGTCTGTCAATTTTTGCTGGACTGAAATAAAATTTTTTGTGTTTTATTTTTTGAATAAGTAAAACTTTATGAAAATACAACAGTAATAACCAGGGGACTATGCAAAAAATTTATTTTGTAATTTTTACAAAACTGATTATTTAAACTTTAAAATGACAGAACATGATTATTTGTTTAATTTAAAACATTTTCATTGAAAGTATATGTCTGTGATCAATAGCTGTGACAATAAAGGCTATACGGGGACTTTTGTTGGCATGGTATATAATCAGAACAACTTAGCAAACTTTGGTAAGATAACATTTAAAATTAGTTCTACACTTTCATTTTATTGATGAAAAGAATAATTTTACAGCAATTGTTGCTGATCAAAGAACAAAACTGGATATTTTATTAAATCTTACTGTTCATGTATTTGACATTTTTTACATCTTGCTGTTTATTTTACATTTTATTAAATCTTATTGCTCGTGTGTTATTGAGGTTATAATTGTGCATGTACACACTTGTTCAAAAAGAAAGAATTCATATTGCATTTTTCCAAATCACATCAACTGCTATCCTACTTTCTTATATAGGGTTTGGTCTTCTTTAAAAGCATACGATTAGACTCAACCTCTACAAGCTGTAACTACTACAGTACAAAGTCCGTAATACGGACGTCCATTATCCGGACCTCAAAGCCACAAACTTACGCATGCACAAACAGCCAGTAAAGCGTTTACAAATGTGCGCTTCCGATAGTGAAGAAAGTGCCAGAGAGATTATTGAAAACAAAAAAATTTCGATTGACAAGTTAGTGGGTATTCTCGACACAGCAATTACAGGATTTGAACAGAGGAACTTTGTAGCTGAACAAGAAATTATGTCTGTTTATAGAAGAGAGAATTAAAGAGAAAATATTAGCACAAAAAATGAAGCAACTTAAACAACTTACATGAAAGAAATGTTTTAATAAAGTAAACAAATAATATTAAGCTTTTTTTTTTTTTTTTTTTTTTTTTTTTTAAATTTTGATACCCTTTAGATCATAATTGCTCTTTATTTCATAAATTACGGTTTCATATTTTTAATTGTATAATTTCTGCATGCCATCTTACCAGATTTAAATTGATGATCTATAGTCTGAAAAAACCACTAATCCGGAATCGCCGAAGTCCCGACGAGTCCCGATTACGGACTTTGTACTGTACAACCCAAAATCATGAAGTTGATGTGGAATTTTTGAAGGCATTATCAATAAATACACTTGTTAACATTTAGAATGGTCAATGTCATGTTCAGATTTAAGTGGCCCAGTACTGTGAGGGTACATGCTGATATGAGTTTTGAAAATTCCCCAGTCGATAATTTTATAAATATCATTGGCATCCAGCTTGCTGATTCCTACATGTGCCAATACTGGCACACGATCCGAAGAGAGATCATTAATGACTTCCATAGTGATCGGCAGGCTGTCAGAGATTATGAATACATCAAGTATGTCTGGGTATAGTCTTGATTACATGTGCCTGAAAATATATTCATCGGGGAAGGGGGTAAATATATTAAGGGTTGTTGTAAAGAAAGTTCAGAAAAATTTCTCTACTTTTACTGGTTTTACAGCCCCACAGCTAATGTGCTTAGCATATGGGTCACTTACAATTATGATGGGAAAGGGTTTACTAAGCAGGCTGCACAAATGGTGATCTTGTAACCTAAGATCAGGGGTGTTATAGTACATAGCACTACCACTGGAAGGTTCCTAGTCCCAGTATATATACATAAGCTTCAAATAATAATGAATTTGCACTCAAAATTACATAAAATAAATCTTTGTTATGAAAACACTCATCTTTCAACAAGGCTACCAGTCTGGGATTTTTAAATTTAAGTGATTATACATAAACCCAGCTCCAATATTTTTGGCATCCAAGGCAATGAATACATGTGGCACTCTATCTAAAGTAAATATATTCATACTTCATTCTTCTCTCTTTCATTCACCCTAGCCTGTGATTAATCTATATAATTTGGAAGTTAAGATGTACAGAAAAAAAAAAAAAAAAAAAAAAAAAAAAAGAAGAGATAATCCAAGGGTTGAAAATCACAAATTTATATTCCCAGTCAATTGTGAAGCATACATATATTACAGCCGAACATCAGTCAGCTCTATGAACAAGAAAAGTTTACACACATGATCAGTGTTTGTAAACATATGATAAAAAGCTTCTATAATTACAACAACAGCTTTAAATTTATGTGACTGCTTTTTATAATTTTTTAAATGTGCTAAAAACCTTTGAACTACCCTGTAATTTTTCAGAAATTCAAATAATTCTACAAAAAATTCACCTAATTACCCTTAAACTCCACAATTTAACAGTCCAGTCAAAGGAAGAAGTCAGGAAAAGATCAGGAAATTCGGTAGGACCTCTGCTTTTGTGAGTACTAATAGCAGTGACTGGACCTTGATGACTTTCAAATGCATCAACAATTCCACTTTTGCTACCATGGCGGCAAGCTACAATATCAGATTAAAACATTATTCTAATTTATATATGCAGTACAGATATGATATGAGGATAAGATGTACTACAATAATTTTCATTTGAAATATTGTGATTCATCACATTAAACATATGTGAAATTCTGTCTACCGAATATTTTTTATATGTAATTCACTATTATTACTGATATTAAAAAAACTGCACAAAATAAATATTGAAACTGACAATTTTGAAGAGAATAAATAAATCACGATATTAGAATAATAAGATGAAAATTTTTTTTTAAAAAATTATAATTTTTCTAAGATTTAAAAAACCTTCAGAACCTATTTTAAAAAGCTGATATGTTTTTATTCAATATTCCTCCTTGAAATTTTTAAATGAAAAAATTCTGATATAGCCACTTTTAGATCTTAAATGATGCTATATACAAATATGAATATATTTTAATAAAAAATACGACCAAAACGAATAATTTAGTTAAAATTTACGGGGAATGTAAAATATATTCAGCTTGAATAATAATTTTAATAAACATTTTTGTTTAAAGATTTCTTACATGTACTTTGCAAAGAAACTCATTTGCCTATAGTGAAAATACACAACATTATCATAAAAATTAATTCAACTTACTCGTAAAACCTGCTCGTATTATACTGAAAATAAGCTTCATGTACAGAAGATAAACTAGCAAAAAAAAAAAAAAAAAAAAAAAAAAAAATATATATATATATATATATTATGATGAGTGATTTTTCAATATTATTTAAATAAATAAGATTCAGCATATGCACAACTAAATATCAGCCACTGGAAATGTAATTTTATCCATTTTGCCTTAATAACCAATCTAACCAAGAAGGTATATTATCTATCACAGAATGATATATTAATCTTCCAAGGATTAAAGTTTGTTCTCAAGTTTTTTTTTTTTTTTTTCTTTTAAATAAATCCTATTTATTCCTACTGAGATTTTTCCTCTAGACTTAATAGTATCAGACTGCACACTACAATACTTGGAATTTACAAAAAAATATAATAAAAAATTTAAAAAAAACTGCAATTTCAGAACTTTAAATACAGTATAATATCTCAGAGTTTATAAATAAAATTTTTTTAATTAAAAAATAAAAAATATCATAAAGTTTAAAAAACCTACAATCTGATTTTGCTCTGCCAACTGCACTTTAATGCCTGATACTGTTTTAAACTAAACAATCAAAAGAGGTCTACTATGATCTGTTACTTTAAAATAAGAATTTCAAAGTAATATTCCACCTTATAACCATGGGAATGATGGTTGCAGCAGATGGTTCAAGTCACGTAATGCCCCTCTCCCCACTCCACTCACATTTAGCGTGTTTTGCTTCATAAAAAGCATGTGAATGAAGGCTGCAATCTCATATGAGGTGGAGATGCAGTCTGGTGATGATGACAATACAATATGATTGTAATGGCCTTAAAATGCATATTTACAGAAACAGCCTATAGTTTGGGAATTAAACCCCGAGAAATTGAAATGGAATATAAAACGTTATAGCTAAAAAAAGTTGTTTGAAATAGCATTTCTAGATAGAAGGGAAAAATCTTGTGATAATATTCCATGATAAATGAATGTCACGTGCAGTCTTCATCACTTATTTAATACGGAAAAGGTTTGATTATTCTAGGTGCAGTTTTGTACTTTCTCACTGAATCATCTGTGCATGACAATTGCAACAAATATGTCTCCCAAATCAAGTACAAACATGTTCTGGTTTGCCAGGATGAAAAATCCATGAACTAAACACAAACATTTCAATATGACTTCCTTAAAGATGTTCAAAAAGGAAGGGGCTCTTCTACTCTTTCCTCTTATTTATTAAATATACATAGGATTACTGTAAAACAACTTCAAAATGAGGAAACATTATGATAACATAATGGCTAGTCACATGAAAATTCATTTCCTCATTTTATTAATGAACTAAAAATAAAAATTTTCCCATAATTTGTACGCTGACAAGCCAGAACATAATAACCATTCCCACATTTTTTAATGAACTTGTCTGGATAACGTGGACTGCCCATGATTAAGTGAGAATGGTATTTAACTGCCGCTGGAGAAGATAAGGAATCATTCTTGCATTTACTTTTGCGAGTGATGGGAAAGGCTCCTGATCTAAGTGAATTTGGCAGAAGGCAGATTGTAATGGCCCAAAGACTTGGAATGAGTATCTCCAAAGCTGTGCGACCGATAGGTTGTTCACAATCTGCCATTTTTAGTATTTATCCAAAGTGGTTAAATGATGATGAAACCAGCAGTAGAAGCCAAGGTGTTGGACATCCACACATCATCAAAGAAAAAGGATGTTGGGGACTGCCTCCCTTGGCACAGCAGAATCGGCACCAGACAGTGGCTCACTGACAGTCCAATGCAGTGCAGGTTCAAGTACAAGCATTTTGGAACATGCAGTTTGGCAGACGCTGTTGGATATGGGACTGCACACTCCCCTCGTCCCACTCATGTGCCTTTGTTGGCCAAGCGTCATTGTCAACCA